TAGTTTATTATTGATTATTGAGCATGCATCAGGATGTTTTCTAGTTTGACATAAAACACATAGTTGTTGGGGGCGACCCACGGGGAGGCCCAAGAGTAGTCTATGGTGGCCTTGACACCCCCCCCCCCCCCCCCCCCCGGACTTCAGCGAGTGATGAAGCCAAAGAGTTGATCACATGATCACACGATCACATGATCACATGAAGACGACGTCTTCGTTCTTTCAGATGAAACGTTTCTCCCAGAAAGAAACTGATGGAACCGTTTTATTTTCTAAACTTAGACAAGTGTAAAGCACATTTACCTTTTAAAATGTATCACAAGATTAAAATGAATTAAACTCAAATCAACAAATAATAAATGAAGGGAACAAAATTAATTTATATTGAGATTGTGGGAACAATCCAGAGGTTTAGCATCAGCTCTGACTTACGTGAAGCTGTTTGAAGTTCACAGGAGGACGCTCGGGAACGAGACGTCACTGGTTTGATCTGAGAAAACTTCATCAGTTTTCTCGGATGATCATTTTTTAACTGAAGGCTGAGATTAGGATGCGAGAGTTCGATTCTCACATGAAAGAACGTAGTATTTCTGAACGGCAGATGCAGTCTGTATGTGGTGACACTCGTGTGACCCATGTGGTCCTGATGCTCCACCACAGTGGGAATGTAAGACAGAGATGGACCGCTCGTACCGCTTCGGTCGTGTTGAGGTGAGCTGTGAAGGTTACAGCCACCCGTCTGATCCCCACGTGCTGAGAGGCTCCTGCGGACTGGAATACACCCTGGAACTGACCGAAGGCCTGAAAAGGACTCAAGGCGGGGCTGGATCTAAAGGACGGGGAGGTAATGTGAAATATGAGTGTAAAGCTTTATTTTCTCAAGTTCCAGGTAATTCTACAAGAAGAAGATAATGACAACGTTCTTTGCCTCTGTTGGACTCAGGTCTCGGGGAATACGTCTCCAGTTTCTTCAGCAGCTCTTTTCAAAGCGTGCACCAGAACCATCAGTCGTCAGACAGTGAGCGTTCAGGAGACCTGCTGGTTGTCGTCGTGCTTCTTCTCTTAGCATTTGGTGTCTTCAAGCTGTTCTTCAGTGGTGGCACAGCCCCTGTGGGCCAAGCTGGTGGACAGGATGGGTCTCCTCATGACGGTCACCACAGCTCCACGGCAGGACCACCCCCACCAGGTTTCAAACCGGACTACACAGGTAGCTGATGCTGCACAACAATGCCAAACTAAAGTACCAGACAAATGAGAAAATGATATTTTTTATTGTACTATATCTAGTCTTTTTATTGATTTTTGAACATAAAAACAAAATGAGAACACAAAGACAAAAGACCCCCCACCCCCACCCCTCCCACACGGGATCAGTCAAACATGCATAAACAAACTAAACAGGCATCGACATACGTTCTACATACAACACAAAGAGCCGCCAAGCGTCCCAAAACCTTTTGACAGAACCCTTGAGGGTAGATCTTGTTTTTGCCAAATGGATGTAGCTGGAGACCACTTCCACCACAGATCCTCTTATGTTCAGGGGGTGTAGGTGTGTTTGTTCCTTCTGAAGTCCACAACCATCTCCATCTTCTTCATATTGATGTGAAGGTTGTTCTTCCTGCACCAGCTCTCCAGGTGTTCCACCTCCTGCCTGCAGCTGGACTCATCATTGTTACCGCTGTATCGTCTGCAAATTTTATAATGTGACAGTCTGGATGGGTAGCTGCACAATCATACGTGAGCAGAGTAAACAGGAGGGGGCTCAACACACATCCCTGAGGAGAGCCAGTGCTGAGGGTTATGGTGGAGGAGGAGAGGTTGTGGATCCTCACTAACTGTGGTCTGTTTGTTAAAAAGTCTAGTACCCAGTTGCAAATGGAGGGGCTTAGTCCTAGTGTGGATAGTTTGTCCATCAGGGTTTGGGGGATCATGGTGTTGAAGGCAGAGGTGAAGTCCACAAAGAGCATACGGACGTAGGAGTTTTTCTGCTCCAGGTGGGTGAGAGCAGTGTGGACCACAGAGGAGATGGCATCTTCTCAAGTTCGATTCTCATGGTATGCATACTGATGAGGGTCCTCGTTGATGTTGATGCTTGTTCTGATGTGGGTCATGACCAGTTTTTTGAGGCATTTAGTGACTCTCAGGGTGAGGGGCCACTGGCCTCTCCAGTCCATCACAAGAAAATGCTGCCTTAAACTTAATGCTCAATTTAATAAAATTTAATTTAATTCAATTAATAAAAAAAGAAAAAAATCTAAATGCTAAATGAAAACAGGAACTTGCTAGCTAAAAGCAGCAAAAGGTTTACAAGAAGCTAAAAATAGCAAAACGCTAGTTAAGGACTAAACGTCATGTGAAGAAGACGACGGAGATAGTTGTGGATAGATGGATTGAACACAGGAGGATCTGTGGTGGAAGTGGTCTCCAGCTACAAGAACTTGGGTGTACACATGAACAACAACCTCAGCTGGAGCAACAACACCACCAGCCTGATGAAGAAAGATCATCAGAGACTCTACTTCCTCAGGCGGCTGAGGCGAGCTGGTCTGGAAGCTCAGTCCTCACCTCCTTCTACAGGTGTGCAGTGGAGAGCATCCTGTGCTCCAGCATCAACGTGTGGCATGGAGGCTGCACAGCTGCAGAAAGAAAAGCTTTGCAGAGAGTGGTGAAGGCTGCACAGAAGATGTTGGAGTCAGTCTCCCCACCATCACAGACATCTACACCTCCAGATGCAGGAAGAGGGCCACCTGCATCATGAAGGACCACACTCACCCAGCACACACACTTTTTGTCCCACTCCCCTCAGGAAGGAGGTTAAGGAGCATTAAGTGTAGAACCACTAGACTGAGGAACAGCTTCTACCCTGAGGCTGTTAGACTCATGAATCTCTAACCAAAATAATCACTGTCATTACACTTTATTGTTTATATGTGCTGCTGATCTCATGCTGCTGATCTCATGCTGCTGATCTCATGCTGCTGATCTCATGCTGCTGATTTATTTCATGTTGCTGTGTTCAGTCGTGCTCATCTGCTCACACAGACTCATGTTCGTGCTGCTGTTGTTCGGCGTATTGTTTTTGTACCATCTGTGCTTAGTGTCTTCTGAGTTTAGCGTGTTTCTCAGTTCATGTCTTAGATCTTATTAGTTTTTCTTTACAATTTATACTTTGTTGGATGTAACTGGGACCCTGTGTACACAGTTTTGTTCCACCACATGTACCACATGAGATGTGAATGACAATAAAGGAAAGCTTGACCTTGACAAAGCAAAAGAGTAAGTGGAAGCTCAAGGCAGCAGAATTTAGTTCAAAGCTAAAAGTAGTGTAAGAAGACAGAAGTGCAGACGTATGCTCTTGTAAACTTCTGCCTTGTTAATCTTATTTCACCTGTCTGTATTTTATAATCAGGCTTTGCTGGTTCTAATCCAAGCTATGGTTTCCACAACGATTATGTTCATGGACATTACCCACGAGACCGCAGTGCTCACGTCCCAAACGGAGGCTTCTGGACCGGCATGGGAACAGGAGCAGTGCTGGGTTACCTGCTTGGTCGTCAGAGGTCAGTTAAGGAGTGGAGGCTGTCGACTGTGTAAGAGAACATCGTGCCATCCCCAGGTGGAACTGGTCTTTATACTGGTGTTTCTGCATCGTTGTGTTGCAGGGACCAGCCCAGCAGAGTACCATCTACAAGAAACGACGGCTCTGCTGGGACTCGCACCGCTACAGGTAGCTAGACTACGTCAGCTAACAGAGCAGCATCATGTCTAGAGATAAATAAACTTCCTGCTACACAGCTGATGAGGACAGAATGAAGACCGTGTGTCTGTGCACGTGCTGGTTGAACGTCCACACACAGCTGGGGACTCATTTCTCTGTGTTTTAGGTTTCGGAGGAACCAAGAGAAGATAGTTATGGATGAAGACGGTGTCCATGGTGGACGGAACGGACAGAGAAACAGTGAAATTATTACGACTAAATATTGTGTCAGTTGATGCCAAACATGGCCGCCCTTTCATGAGACACCATCTTAGAGTGGTGCACAAACAGAACCTTCTTGTTCTGTCGTCCTTGAGTAAAGTCTGACGTAATTTGAGCTCATGTCAGAGTTCTGTTGGTCATGACTTTAAACGTTTAGCCAGAGGGAGGAAATAAGATGTGACTTTTGTCATTATAGTTTATTGTAGTTTATTATAGTTTATTAGAGTTTATTATAGTTTATTATAGTTTATTATAGTTTATTATAGTTTATTATAGTTTACGAGTTAGTTACAGTAGTTTCTCGTTTATCGCGGGGGATCCGTACCCTGAAGCCCCGTGATAAGTGAAAAATTGGCCTTTTAAACCCTTCCCACACTCTTGATTTCAGCTCTCTGCCTTCACTGCTCTCAGCCACCTGCAAGCGCTCTTAGCCACGCCCACTTCTCTGCTCTGCACAGAGAACAGCTGATCAGCTGC